TTGTCATCTGTCCTCAATGGCAAACAGCCGAATGTCACTTTGGCGTCTAACCGCCTCGCCGCACTCATGGATGATCGGCATGTCCCAGGTGATGTCATATGCAGCAGCAGTGATGGACCATTAAGCGGCTCTCCTAAAATAAAATATCTTTATTATGGTCTCCTTGCCAGACAAAGAAGCTCCTCCTCCATCTCCTCATGAATTATTCATTCAAATACAGCAGTTGCTTCCATGAGTGCATGCAGACAACACGTTTTCATTTTTCCATGCGACACGCTGAATTGGACAAAAAAAAGGGGGGGGGGGCGCAAACTGGAAAATGTTATTTTGCTGTTGGTTTTTAGCCAGATAATTTGTCTAGATGGCTGGTTGCTAACAGAATTGAACCAATATTAGGCCAGATTAACCCAAAAAATAATTTGCTGCTAGTATGTTAGTTACTTAATGAGTTAATTTGTTTGTTAGTTTGGGGAATTGCATCAAAATTGGGCCGGGCGAAAACGAAGCTACCGTTCGTCAGTTAATTAGCTAGCTAGCTAGCTTGATTTACGCGAAACAAATGTTAGCGATTGGGTTACTGGGGATATTTTTCTTTTTAGTTGTCACCACAGTGAAGTGACTTTTTAATTGTCTTTCGTTACTTACTCAGTCACTTACTCACTCAGTGACAGAATGATGCTAAAATGGCACCCAAAATATGAAGTAGTTGGATCTTTGGCCGGTTCATTTTTGTTCCACTGTTGGGACATCGGAGCCCAAGTGTAGAACGGAGTAACATGCATTTTTAAAGACGTATACTCCCTCCTGCATCGGCCGGACCAGAGTAATTGCTGGAAGGGGAGAAACTAACTGCGTGCTCCCCTCTACTACTCCTCCTTCCCCTCCGCCACCTTTTGATGAATAAGTAAACACGTACAAGCCAGCAGTTGCTTTAAAAGTCTCCGAGTGGGAGGGCCAGCAACCGGCTGTTTACTCGTTGATGATTGCACACACACACACACACACACACACACACACACACACACACACACACACACACATTGACACGTTGCATGAAGATGCTTTGTCAGCGCTCACACATTTTTGCATTTCAAAAGCAGCATATTGATGCTGAATGTAACCAAAATGTGCTTTAATGTCATAGGTTTCTTTCTAAAAATTGCAAATTAGACCAGAGGTAGAAAATGTATGGCCATCTTAATTCTTTATTCCGGCCCACTGAGCATTTACATTATCAAGAGTCCCAATTTTTTTTTTTTTTTAATCTGTCGAGATGTTTTCAATTCATTCCGATGGTGCCAGTGTACCGAATCAATTGGTGTCTGACCGATGAGGGTGCGAGGAGTAGCAGAGGAGTATTCAGCATCCAAAGATACAAAGTCGAGCAGAATTTTGATGCATTACTGAGAATCCAAATGTCCGTGCACTGTGCATTGGTGTTGTTATAAAATGGCTCATTATCTTCCAGGGAGATATCCGATCCCTTGCTCACCCGCAACCTTTGACAATACAAAGTGAGACCATAATCGCACCCTAGAATTTTTGGTAAGGTTCCGTCCCCTGAAGCCAGTTTCAGTTAGCAACTTTTGCTCGGAATGTCTATCATGAGTAGACCCACCAAAAAGTCTGAAGAAGCAATACCCCAAAAAGATGCGGGAAATCTGCCGTTTTGGTTTCAAGTGGACTTTTTAGACCCGTGATGGCGATTTTCAATGGACAAACAAAGATGAGCCTTTTCTTGAAAGTTTTTTTTCCCCCAATTGCTGACATATTAAACCACACGTAAGGGACTAGAAAGATGGATGATGGTAAATTGAGGAAAACAAAACAACTCAACAGTGACTTTTCGTCATTGCCCGTGGGCGGAGTTTGATGAATCGCCAGGAAACGAACCATGCGGCAGCACGAGGACAAACTTGTGTGTGAACCTCACGCCCCGAGGACTACAATTTTCGAACATAGTCGAGCACAATCTCATTACGGCACCGAGTCATGTGGCCCGCATGAAACCAGACTCATTGTTGTCTCCGCATCTTGGCGTGCAACGCAGCTGTGGCAGTCACGGCCCGAAACATTGTACTCCATATTCGCAATTGTACATATTCACTGTAGCGGATGTACAAACATACAAACGGCTGCGGCGAGATGCTCGCCAAAGCAGCCAAAGGCCATCAGAGCGAGGACGCTGCATTTTAAACAGCAGCCTCACCGCACTTGACGGGGAAAATGGGTCACATTTGTTTCCTGACACGTACGTGAAACCGACTGGTGTGGAAGCGTGAATTGTGAACGTGCTGTTCTGACACCATTCGTGGCTCACGTGCACCTCGCGCATCTTCTTTTTTCTTTTTTTTTTTTTAATGTTGTTAACTGTCATCCATCCGTACATCCTTTTTATAGAGCGCTTATCCTCATTAGGGTCGCCGGTGAGCCGTAGCCTATTCCAAGCTGACTTTGGGCGAGAGGCGGGGTACGCCGGTACACCTAGGGACAATTTGGAGTGTTCAGTCAACCTGTCATGCATGTTTTTGGAATGTGGGAGGAAACCGGAGTACCCGGAGAAAACCCACGCAGGCCCGAACATGCAAAACTCCACACAGAGAGGCTGGAGCTGGAATTGAACCCGGTACCTCTGCACTGTGAGGTTGACCACTGGACCACCTAAACTCAAACAAAGCATTTAAAAATAAATAAATAAATAAATAAAAACTAACTTTCCCTAAAAAGAAATTAAAAGTAACCAAATATAAAAATAGTCTCAATTAAATACAAACTTAACTATCATGAAAAATCTCAAACTATTATAACCGTGCTCGTGACCAGTCTATATGTGCCCTGACACTGCCCCCTCCCTTTTAAATGTTCTGAACTCCCATTTCCACCCCACATGCTGTCATGGAGCTGCTGGGTGGAGTCACTGTAGTGCAGAGTGTAAAACGCGGAGCCGTCGCGGGCGTCTGTGGCTGACGCTAATGAGGATCGACTCTCCTCGGCAGTGGTGGCTCTGACCCACATTATTTCGCGCGATGCCCTGAGGCCCGTTGAGTCGGGATGGAGACGAACGGCCAACCGGGAGTTTCCATTTGAGAGTCTCTAAAGGTCCCAGTAATTTCTGACATGTTATTGAGCCACAATGTTGTGTGTGCCAATGTTTACGTTCTGGCGACAGGCTACCGTATTGGCCCGAATATAAGACGGCCCTGATTATAAGACGACCCCTCTTTTTCAAGATTCAAGTTTGAAAAACGACTTTTTGAACACCAAATAAATTTTTATACAGAAAATAATTACAGTACATCTGAAACAATTGATTATAACAATATATTTTGAGAGAAAAAGTATGTTATTTTGCCTCATTCAAATCTAAAGTGCAATCACATTCGTAAATGAATGGCTTCTGGTTTTTGAAATGTAAATGACGTCATAACTTCTCCTCAGCTGCCGGTTAACCTGGCCGATCTTCGACTCACTTTTCTCCAGATTGTCACTACGTATCTCCATTTTCTGTTATCTCTTCTATTATTTTCTTCTCTTTTCCTTCTTACCGCTATTTTTTATTTTTCTTCTTCGTGCTACCGCTATTGTTATTTTTATTCTTCGTGGCAGGGCTTCACTTTGGCCTGGGGAGTCAAGTTCAGCATCTGCTTCAATGATATCTGGCGCCATCTAGCGTCGTGAATGGGTATAATATCTAGACCCCGAATATAAGACGGCCCTCACTTTTTCAGTCTTATTTCAATGCAAAAAAACACCGTCTTATATTCGGGCCAATACGGTATATTAGCCTTCCTCAATTTTTTTACATGGTGCGGCGATGACATCTCCACAATTTTGCGCGTGTCCATGTTGACGTTCCAGGGAGCGCCGTGGCAATTTGTTCTTCCCAGCCAAACTACCATCTTATGATATGTCGCGACGGCATCTTTAGCAACGCTGAGCATTCAGGTAGATTGACGTGTGGGCCTGTCCGCAATGTTGCGTCCATCCCTGTCGTAGTCGAGGCTAAACGCGTAATGGATGCGTTCCCGCAGCGAGGCGACAGCCCGCAAAGTCAAAGCAAAGCCAAAGCATCAATCACCTCGCACGAGTTGCGTTTACAACAAGCGCGTCATCCATCTTGATGAGGCTGAGCCGAGAGCGCAGGGGTCCTCCACGCGCGGGGGCACCGCCGCTCTCAAGGCAAACCAGGGGATTAAACGTGTCTCTGAAGGGCACCTTGACGGAGGCTCCCTTTTTTTTTCCCGCCATTGAACCGCGAAAAAAATGATTGGCATTCAGAGCCACCCGCCGTTGTTGTCATCCAAAAAAAAAAAAAAAAAAATGAAGATGATCGAGTGGAGGAAGAAAAGCGACGATGCAAAACAAACAAGATGGCAGAGATGTGTCATAAAGTCGAGTCAACACACGGGGCTTTATTCATTCGCGGACGTGACTTCATTTCCATATAAATGTCTTGCGAGCGAGCACAGGATTGTATGAAGTTTCTGTTTTGTCAGAGAAGATCAACAACAACAAGAAAAAAAAAAGATCATTTCTCCCCTGCACTTGTTGATTTAAACGTTTCTGTTCCTGTTGACTTATGAAAGTTCTTTACTAAACTTAAAAAAAAACAAAAAACATCCCTCCTTATTTCCTTTTGAGTTGCAAGCGTGTGCTTGACGTTCATGATTGCTGATCGTTTTCTATGTCAATTGGGGAGGGAAGAAAAAAAAAAATCACCCCAAACATGACATACGCCGCACCACAGAATAACAGCTCGGGATCATCATTTCCACGCATCCAACAATTTTCTGATTATTATCCATAGTGATTAAAAAAAAAAAATGCTTTTGAACATTAGCTTCCGTTTCCATTGCGACACCAACGCAGACACGCGGCCATCTACCAATCGACGGATTGCAGAGTGCTTTTCTGCACCCTACATGGGGGGGGGAAAAAAAAAACGATCATGAGCATGAAAATGACTAACGCGTGGAATTCTTTCTCATGATGCGCGCTAGTGAGAGGCGGGATGCTGAGGCTGATGTGGAAGTCGACGGACAAGATGCGTTGCCTGAGGAAGAGATCCACGCTGCCTCTGCTGGGCTTCCTGGTCGCCTTCCTGCTGCTCTTCAACCTCTACATGGACATGGACGGATACGTGTTGGTGAGCGGTTAGCTTTTTTTTTTCTCTCTTTGCATTATTATTTATCGATCTGACGACCGTATTTTCCACACTAAAAGGCGCACTGGATTATGAGGCGCACCTTCAATGAATGGCCTATTTTGTCTTTTTTTTTCATACATTGGGCGCACCGCGTGATAGGAAGCAATGTACGATGCATCCACTAGATGGAGCTACGCTCAAGGAACGGACAACAGAACGATCAGATGTCAGTAAAACTGATTTAATAAAGCAGCGACGCAGTTCACTTAACCAACAGCAAGTTATAACATTGATTCGTTAACGTTGAACTCTCTTGCCGCTGCTCTCTTTTCGTGTTCAACTGCGTAACCGATCGCCTAAAGTTTGAACTCTGCATTGTCAGCATGTCTCGAGCAAGGAGCCATTTTGGGGTCGAAATATTACCGTAATGACCATACACAAGCCGCGTCGGACTTTTAACTCATTCAGTACCAGCCAATTCTGGACCAAGTCTGAAAAGACGTTGAAAAACGTCTTTGGGAGTGAATGAATTTTAAGAAAATGGAAGGCTTTTAGGTGCGCCTTTTAGTGCGGAGAATACGGTAATTGGAAACCTGTATCACGTGCCGAATGAAATGTTTTTTTTATTTTAAACCCTATCAGGGACAGTGGCCATGACAGTGGACTGCTTATCATGTGAGCGGGTTAAAGAGTGCATGAAAGGGTAAACACATTTGCTCATGTTCTTCTTTTCCAACAGGAGGCAGAAAAGCGCCAGCTGGGTGAGACGTTAATGCAACCCGCTAGCTCAGAGCGATACATCCACACCTTCAGAGACCTGTCCAACTTCTCCGGGACCATTAATGTGACGTACCGCTACCTGGCGGGATTCCCTCTGCCGCGCAAAAGTGGGTCGTTCGATGTCACTTTGGAAATGTGACGTCTTGTGTGTGCTACGTGTTTTCATCAGACGGCCTGACCATCGTTTGTTCTTTGTCATCATCAGAGTACCTGACCATCGGGCTGTCGTCGGTGAAGAGGAAGCGCGGGAACTACCTCCTGGAGACCATCAAGTCCATCTTTGACCAGTCCAGCTACGAGGAGCTGAATGAAATCGTGGTGGTGGTCCACCTGGCCGACTTTGACTCGCTGTGGTGTGACAACTTGCTGCGGGAAATCAGCCGCAAGTTCTCGCACCACATCATCGCCGGCCGCCTGCTGGTGATTCAGGCCCCCGAGGAGTACTACCCGTCCCTGGACGGCCTGAAGAGAAACTACAACGACCCCGAGGACCGGGTGCGCTTCCGCTCCAAGCAGAACGTGGACTACGCCTTCCTGCTCAACTTCTGCACCAACCTCTCCGACTTCTACATGATGCTGGAGGACGACGTGCGCTGCGCTCGTAACTTCCTGACGGCGCTGAAGAAGGTGATCGCCTCCCGCGAGGGATCCTACTGGGTGATGTTGGAGTTCTCCAAGCTGGGCTACATCGGGAAGCTGTACCACGCGCGGGACCTGCCGCGCCTGGCGCACTTCCTGCTCATGTTCTACCAAGAGATGCCGTGCGACTGGCTGCTCATCCACTTCCGCGGCCTGCTGGCCCAGAAGGACGTGATTCGCTTCAAGCCGTCGCTCTTCCAACACATGGGCTACTACTCGTCCTACCGGGGCGCCGAGAACAAGCTGAAGGACGACGACTTCGAGGAAGACGCGGTGGACATTCCCGACAACCCGCCGGCGCGGCTCTACACCAACATGGCTGTTTTCGAGAGCTACGCCGCCGCCAAGGCCTACAGCGCCGTGGACGAGTACTTCTGGGGCAAGCCGCCGTCCACCGGCGACTTCTTCGTGGTGGTCTTCAACAAATCGGCCAAGATCAGCAGGATCAAGATCGCCACGGGCTCCGACGACAGAAAGAACGACATCCTCCATCACGGCGCCGTGGAAGTGGGTCAGAGGCGCGCGGAGGGCAAGCAGGACGGCCAGTGCGCCTCCTACATCACTCTGGGGGAGTTCAAAGGTGGAAGGGTTGAGGTTCAAGACGTGGACCGCAAGATTGGTTTCGATGTGGACTGTGTGCGCATCGTGGTGACAGCTGGCCAGAAAGAGTGGCTCATAATCAGAACCATCAGCCTATGGACCGCACATCCCGGCAGTTCGTTGGTCAAGTGACCAATTCACTTATCGGTGCGGTCATGTCGGACAAGACTCAGAAAAAAAAAGTATATTTTCTTGTGTATTTTTTTTTTCAACAATTGTTTTCCCCCTCTGATAAGTTTCAAACACGATTCAGAATCCACCCTTTATACTTCATTTTCCTAACATAAAAACAGGAATGTGTTTCTACTGTATGTGTCTGCTGTCATGTTTTTGAAGTTTGGAAATCAAACTGCTTCTAAAGCAGTTCATGCGCATCCTGTTAATTGGGCCAAATTTCAGCTTTTTTTTTCCACAAAGTCAAAGTCTGCCAAGATCCAATTAGTGGATGTCGCAAAAGGTTATCCTGGGCTTTCCTGTGTGCAGTTTGCATGTTCTCCCCGTGCCTGTGTGGGTTTTCCCTGGGTACTCCGGTTTCGACCCACATTCCAAAAACATGCATGGCGAGTTAATGGAACACTCTAAATTGTCCCTAGGTGTGAGTGTGAGCGTGAACGGTTGTTTGTCGATATGCGCTCTGCGATTGGCTGGCAACCGGTTCAGGGTGTCCCCTGCCGACTGCACGAAGCACCCTTGTGAGGATAAGCGGATCGGAAAATGGATGGATGGATAAAGATGAATTCATGACATATCCTAATGGCTGCCTTTCCAGCAGCTCCTATATTTTGTTCTTCTACTTCTTCCTTTCATAACTTTGCTGCTGTGAATTGGGAATTTCTCCATTGCGAGACTAATAAAGGATTTCTTATCTTATGCAAATGTCAACCACCAACTTGGATCAAGGCATAGGCAAAAAAAAAAATTAATTGCCATTCATGAGAGTGGCACTGTTGCCAGACATGACTGGAGGTGCACCTGGCTGTACAACAAGCTGCCTTTCCGGGACCATACTGCCACTCACAGGTCAGTCTTGCTGCTCTGACAGACATGGTTGGGTTAGGCGTGTGTGTGTGTGTGTGTGATGTGTGTGTGTGTGTGTGTGTGTGTGTGTGTGTGTGTGTGTGTGTGTGTGTGTGTGTGTGTGTGTGTGTGTGTGTGTGATGTGTTGTGTTGGTTATCTGTATTACACTACACATAAAAAGAGCAGTAAGAATACAGAGAATCATTTTTTCCCCCTTCATCATCCGTAGGGTCTTTCACATACGTGTTGTCATCTACTCCCGAGCTTTTCCTTATTTACATTTGAAGTTTTGTATGAGCCTGCATCCCTTCCGCTTCTTTCTCTTTGGGGTTTGATTGAATACAGTCATTCCATCTGCTCTTGGTTGCCCTCGTTTTTGAGGCCCGTGAACTAAAATCCGCTTCGCTTTTCATGCAACATGGCGTCGTTCACTTCTTCCCGTCAGACATCCAAAACACCAGTCTTGCTTCTTTTGATTTTTTTTTTTAGAAATTTAGGTTACCTTCCCCGACCCGCTGATGTATGCATTTCTTATTCTGTCTTTTCTCTTCACTTCATACATCCGTCTCAACATCAAACACGGGTATGTGTCGACCAGGCTTTGATATCCCCCAGCCCCCAACCACCACCACGTCGTGCCATTTTTACAGCCACTTGAATCACTTCTATGAAACATTTTAATGGTCATTTGATAGTTAATAATGATTTGAACCCAGAGGCATGATAATAAAGTGAAACTTGGTGAGTACACTGTCAATAAATGTTGTACTGGCAGCAGCGTTCATAAAGACTAACCAGACGTGTAATTCTTTTCGGTTATCGGGTGTAATTGAAAGGGAAACGCTCATTTTGATTTCTGTCTGATTGCATAAGACTGGCGGAGAAAATGACCAATCAGGTAGCACGCAAATTGAACGTGCTCAACGTCATCACAGTGCGACATATTCGTATGAAACAAAACAGAAGCTTTCTGTGGGCAACTTTGCTCAATAGTCACCGGAGGTGTTTACATTTAGGTGAGCTGTTTTTATTTTCAAATCGCGTCATAAGTGCACAGTTACTATTTGCTTTCCTGAAGACCATCTTACTTGCGTGGCAGCGTGGAAAGTAACGCTTTCGTTTTCTGTGAGAGCCGCGTTGTTGTATCTGACATCTCCCACCCCAAAATGACTGTTTTTGAAATGCTAATAATTTGCATGTTCAGACGAGCGTTGTTACTTCTGCAAGTTACAATAATTTAATGACGCATCTGATGTTGACGCGGCGTGTGATCGAATTGATTCCTTCATCTTTGTCCATATACGCGCACTAAGAGCATGTCGATAGCATGATAATTCACCATATAACGCAGCGCAGAACAAAACTTGTGCCATTTCATTGTTCCAGCACTCGATTTTTAAACTAGCCCCAAAAGCATCGGTATCTACGTATAAGTTCAGTACAGTAGTCCTCTCCAACAATGGACGCGGCTTACAAACAATAACTATACAACGAACTACGATCCCCGACAGTTTAATATTGTTTCAATTTTACCCTAAAATAAATGGTTAATATATATATATATATATATTTTTTTTTTTGGGGGGGGGAATCATTCTAGCACTTTAGGAAGCTGTCGTTTTGTCGGAAAGGCTCCACAGGGGAAAAAATGTGAATAAATAAATTCCATAAACGGCCAATTACTGTATTTCATTAGAATTTTCTTCCATTCTCTGCAGATTTGAATGACTGCAGTACTGTTGTGCTAGCGTCACCTGCTGCTTGCTGCCTCTGGGATGGGCCAGCAGATCTCAGGTCAGGCGGCGCGTCTCCCTGAGAAGTTGCTCAAACACGTCGGCTTGGTGCGAGACATCTGCTACCTCACCTACGAGGAGTTTTTGGCCAGGGTGGCCGAGCTCAATGACTTGTAAGCACAGATGCATGCAAACACACTTTTACTGGATATTATGTGAAATCCGTTCATCCATTTTCGATATCACTTATCCTCATTAGCTTTGCAGATGGAATTGGAGTTAATTCTAGTTCAATCGATTTTTTTTAACCTATTTGGTATGCTATTTTATAACATTTGAAGAAAGCTGGTTAAATGTCCAAGATATAAGTTGCAGTTGTCAAAAAACATAACACTTCTCCATAGCTCGGGGGTGGAATTTATTTTGTGTATATTGTGATAACTTGACTTCTGTTGCGTCAGATGAAAAAAATGCTGGAAAATAATAGTAATAAAATAATAGTAATAAAAGTATAAAACATACTTGGCTGCTTAATTTCACACTTGATTGGTGGGTGGGCGGGCGCTCCAGACAAACAAGGATTTACGTACCAGCAATTAAAAAGTCAAATTTCCAAATTCTGTTTCTTTTCAAGCAGCATCGTTTCAAAAAACGTGGCTGGATTCTCCCATTTTCTGCTCTCCGCAGGACTGCTAAACTAGCTGCAGGGCAACACAAGCACCTGCTGTTTGAGGTCCAGCCGGGATCGGATGCCAGCGCCTTGTGGAAGGTGTCTGCCAGGATCGTTTGCACCAAGGTGAGGCCAAAAAAAGAACTACCGGTACATTTTATTACCGCCAGTAATTCAGGAGACAATATTGACCCACGGGAAATAAAGGTAGATAGTAATAATCCGTTGCAGTCGAATTGTGGCTGTCATCAACTCTTTTTTTTTTTTTTTTTAATTTAAACTGCACTTATTAGTTTGCTTAAAGGGTTTGCATCATGTTATTTTAAGCTTTCCACAGTTCAGTCTAGACCCTTCTCGCTGACGTCATTTAACCCACAATGCTTAGTTTCCAGTCGCCAGGTTTAATGGCCAGCACGCAAAAAAAAAAAAAAGAAAACACAAAGAGAAACCTCATCCATCGTGAGCATTATCAGACATTTGTCTACTTATGTCTAGTTTGGGGCGGAAAAAAAGTTTGTATTACGACGCCCGTCCATTACACATTGGAACCGGTCGTTCCAAGCCGCTAAGTAGAAAAACTGAAGTTGGTTGGAGGGAAAGACGACGGCAACTGCGGCGGTGCCTGGAGAAATGACGATCAGACAAACGGCTGCTGAATGGTCTGTCGCCGGGGAGGCGGGCGCGTCAACCGAGGTGGCCGCTCGGTCATTTGCGTTTGTTGTTCTTCGGTAAGCAATGGTTGACTGTCAAGTCCTCACGCGACTTCTTCCGCCTCACCGCCAGATCAACAAGGACAACGGCGTAGTGGAGGCGTCACGCATCATGAACCTGTACCAGTTCATCCAACTGTACGGCGACATGACCAGTCAGGCCGCCGGCGTGCTGGCTGCAGAGGGCGCCGCCGCCACCCTGACCACCGAGGCCTCTTCCGCGCCGCCTCTTGCCCCCGACGCCTGTCAGGCCAGCATGTGGATGGGCAGGTCGGCATCAAAAGCACGTGCCATCGACTCATTTTAAATCAAACTCTTAAGACACAAAATCCCCCCCCCCCCCGCAGAGTGAAGGAGTTGACGGACGACGAGGAATGCTGCATCTGTATGGACGGGAAGGCCGACCTCATCCTGCCGTGCACTCACAGCTTCTGCCAGAAGTGCATCGATAAATGGTACGCCAATTAACACCAACTCCGAAGCAAAAATTGTTCACAAGTCGCGCGCGCTTCACGTGTGCCCACAGGAGCCGCAACTGCCCCATGTGCCGCCTGCAGGTGACCGCCGCCAGCGAGTCGTGGGTGATGTCCGACTTCCCCACTGAAAATGACATGGTGGGATACATCCTCAACCTGGCCGACGAGGCGGGACACCCGCATCGGCCTTAACGCAACAAGTAAATGAAAAACAAAACAAAGAAGAAAAAAAAACATTCTCTGCAAGTAGATGTGGTGCGTTGTGGAGGAACGATTCGCAGGGGGTCACGTGACACCAGAACCTCCAAAGTGGAACACAATCCGTTCCGCGACAAACTCATTTTCCTCATCGGAAATAATGGAAGTAGTAGGAATCTGTTCCCGGGTCAAACTGGCGCCATCATAAAATCTTCATGAACGCAATGAAGAAACTCACAGAACATTCTTACTTGTCATACAAGTGTAAAAAGTAGTTAACCACTGCCAGGAGTTAATTTTACTTTTTTTTTTTCTTCAGAACTCATAAAACAAAAAGTAATCCGTTCCCCTGTCAAAAGGTGGCCATTGTGAGCCCTTCCTTAACTATCAAAGCAATACGTTAAGTCACATTTTATCATTCTTCCGTCTGAGTCTTAAGTGTAAAAATAAGTTAACCGCCGTGCTGTTTAGTAAAAATAAAGTAAAACTGCTTACTTGCCGATACTGTCATCCAGTAGCGTGATACTGCTGGTTCTAGAAGTGTATTAGTTAGCGCCTGCGTTAGCAACCGCTTGCTACGATGAACGTGTGCGTGCATTTGGCATTGACTGAATTGTGTCGCTTGTGATTTCCACAGTGGAGTCGCGGTTCGCACATCTGCCTTGGAGCTCTTAAGGTTGGGGCCTTCCCGGAGAAAACCCACGCTAGCATGTGGGAAAACAGATTTGAAAACGGGAATCTCTCGACAGTGAGGCGCATGTGCGAACCGGCTGGGCGCTGTGCTGCCCTATTGTTAAAATGTGCATTTGATGGTAAATTTGCTTTTTTTTTTTTTTAAATCATATTGATGTCATCATGATTAACCAATTTAACCAATTCATTGAACCAAATGAATCAGAAATTCACAGTAAATCAATTAGCCAACGAATAAATGACTTAATTGTAACGTAGATTTTAGTAAATGAATGCAACAAATATGAAACTGGACTCACGATGTTGTGAATTTCTTGGTGGTCCATATGTGTGCCCCCCACCGCTCTAAATACATGCTGAGCTCACGCTCAGTTAATTTTTGGGGGATGTTTTGTTCTGGAAACGTCTGGTGGAATTCCAGATTTTGTCCCGCGCGTCGTGTGTTCCACTTTGGAGGTTCTTCAGTGTTTACTGGGCAAAAGAATGCAACATTGTTGTGGTCTGACAGCATTCGTTGAGCAGCCAAGTTGTAATGTGATGCCCTCGCATGTAGGCAAGGAGAGCCACAGTCACTGGTGCACTTTCTGTCATGTGTTGAACGGGACAAACATTTAAACATAAATACTCAAACTAAGAACGCTCGCAGGGAGCAGCGTGGGCCATGACTCATGAGACCACACCCCTTAAAGACACACACTGACAAGAACACAATTGCATGTTATTTCTGTGTATTATCTTCGACTCTGTTATATTCTGTTTTTATGCAATACAAAGCTTTTTTTTTTTTAATTTAAAAAAAAATATATTAAAAAATGTTTATGGGGTGGCGGGGGCTTTATATATGAGTGAATCGAGTTTCAAACTTGGCCATGGAATGAATTAAACTCTTACTTTGGGGTTTCAACGTACATCAGGCGGCATGCAGTGTGGTTGTCACTTCTCAAATTTCATCACATCCGGCACCAGGGGAAACGGGAAGTTCACATGAAGGGTACGCATTTTATTCATAAACATGCTATCCCCCCCACCCCCAACCCCCAGTAGTTCTAACCCAGCATGTTGCTGTGTAATATCGCTGATGAGCGCATGGATAATGAATGAGTTTGAAATACCACGTCTTATTTTCACATTTTATGTCAAAGTTTCACATTTAATTTGCACATGAAATACTGTACTTTGTTCCAGACTTTGGCTGAGCCTTTTTTGATCGACCAATTTCTGTTTCAGTCTTTTATCTGAAACATTTTGAATTCTTCTAATCATTTGATAGCGATATATTAGATACACTGGCAGCCTATACTGTATTACTGCAACTATCCAGAATTTATATATTCTAATCTATTCCATCAATTTTGTGCGGATTTTTTTTCCATATAAATATAATTAAAAAAGACATGTATATGGTTTAATTTTACCCAATCTCATGCTGACTTTGCTGTACTTTCCATTTGCACTACAAAAATAAATTATCATGCGTAAGTATTTATTTCAGCATGGTTATTTACATTTATTTTAACCGCTTCTTACAATAATATAGTACAGTATAACATTTAATTGTGTATACTTTATTTGGCCGTTAGGTGGCATCATAGCACTAAACATCCATACAGAAGTGTTAATCACCTTGATTGATTGTAGCAGGAGTATTTTTCCCATTGATACAATAAAATATCTTTTCATTCTCTCAGTGTACTAAGTTGTTTGATCAGCTCTTTTCAGTTTCTAAGTCATTTAAGAAATTAAGATGACTGATGTGTAATATTATAGGCCTATATTAAATAAATGAGATCATATGTTGGGATTTTCTTTGGTTTCCTAGAACTGCTTTAATGTATTTTATCCATCCATCCATTTTCCGATCCGCTTATCCTCACAAGGGTTGTCGAAGGTGCAAAATGTGTTTTTTTTAATGTAAAAAGTCATTACATGTGTCTAAACCAGCATCGATTCAAAGATGAATTACAGCAAAATGTGAAAAAAAAAATTCAAACTCAAGTCACTCCACCGCTGGAATGGTCGCGTCCGCCTTTACGGCGTCCACCAAAAAGCTGAGTTCATTGCACAACGTCTCGTGGCGGTACGCCACGCGGATTTGCGCCACGTTTGTGCGTCCGATGTCGTTGCCCTCGGGGCCGTCCTGTAGGTAGTTGGAGCCCAGGAAATGTTTCTTCTCCTGGAGACATGATAAGAAAAAAGCATATTGGGCTTTTTCACGCAGTTTTTTTTTCTCCTCTCTCCTTTTGGTTTACGATATAAAGCAGGGGTGCCCGATACGTTCATCGCCTTCGTCCGGTTGCTCGCGGACTGGTCCAAAGTCGACCGCGAGGGGTGTTGATGGGGGGGGGGGGACCCCAAAACATTTGTGTGCCTGTGTGCGTGTTATTAATGTGATATATTTTTGTGTTAGTGCACGCTGCACCCTTATAATTCCATCAGTCCCACTTTCACAAAAAGTATTTAAAAAATAAAATAAAAAAGCAGGTCACCTTTAACCTACGATGGCGTGTGACCTGCATCCCGGAAGTTGTTAGCGGTCAGCTGTCTGGAATTGCAGCTTGCGATCAGAGCTGTTGCCCTACATCTTTTATTGTTAGTATTATTGTCATTCAGTTTTTTAAAATTGCAAAATTCACCAAGGGCAATGGCAAAGAATTGGAATCTAGAGTGCAGGGAGAAGCAGTTTAAAACGGAACACGTGAGCTACGATCGTTACGTCAAGTCTCTATTAAGGTAGGCAGTGATTTGCCTTTCACAAACTTGCGAACATTTGTGTCCACTTTATTTTTCCGTTTTTTTTCATTGTGGCTATTGCTCAGCAGGGCATGAGTGTGTAAGTGTGTGCGTATGCGCGTGTGCAGTAACAGGTCGATCGCGTGACGTTGGTTGATCGAAAAGTCGATCTTTGGTCAAAAAAAAGATAAGAAAACCTTTATTACTCTCACAATGGAGAAAGTCCCAATTCACAGCAGCAAAGTTATGAAAGGAAGAAGTAAAAGAACAAAATATAAGAGCTTTTAGGTTGGGCACACCTGGCTTAAACAATCTTCATGTTTTGAAGGGTCTCTCCATGTTTTACACATAGTACCTACCAAATTTCTCGTTGCCAAATTAAACTAATTACATGGGCTGAAAAGTCCAGTAATTCTGGAGTGTACTGCTGAACCAATCATAAGTCACGAAAAAGTTGATCCCATGTTGCGCCCCCTCGCAGTGACAAATGTTTGGCGGTTTACACAGGTGAAACCCAGGTTTGGATATACATTCCACATTTTTTTTTTCTTGTGCTCACCTGGTGCGACAGGCCGCTTTGCAGAACGCTGTTTCTGGCAATCTCACACAAGTCGCAAGTGCTGAGTTTCCAGAGCTGAGCTGCGATGGCGTACTCCTCCATCAACGCTTCCTGTCAATGTTTCAATGCCATTCCAACCATGTTTTTATCATGCTCCGCAAGCTGCGTTAGGATACGGCAGAGGTTCTAACCTTTGTGTAGTGGAACTGCATGGGGTCGTCGGTGGACAGTGACACAGACAGGCCCTTCTGGAAAAACTCCCGTAGTGGGTTTTTGGAGTACTGTAAGAACAAGCTGTTGTTGCTCAGCGGCGACATGGCAATGGGGACCTGGGCCAGGTAGTAGAGGTACTGCAAGACCGGACTCTGGTGGACAGGAGGCATACCAAATGAGGATTTGAGGACTTGACTGTCACGATGAAGGAGTTGTTTACCGTTAGTGAGGGAAAAAAAAACTTTCATCTTTGTGAAAGCGCAAGACGGCCATCACCTTTTTCAGGTTGAGTCCGTGGGAGATGTTGTCCGCCGTTAGAAAAGCAGACACCAGATGAGTGATGGAGCCGGCCTCTCCGCAGTGGGGACGGAACTGGAAGGTGTTAAATCCACGTTCCCTTTGGAGAGACAAAATTAAAATGTGAACATTTTATCGGCCATTCATTGTGTGACAATCCCAGAGGTACCTTGACGTACACGTGCCCCGACTTAAGACTTTTACACGTTGGGAGACAACCCCTTGGGTCATTTTTTAAATTATTTTTTTTCCATTGTTTTGCAAGGCAAGATTTTAGTTAGTCGCGTGCGTCAGATATGTCGCAAAGTGAAGTTGAAACAGGGGTCCAAACCACTGCTACATGGGCCCTCTGTTACAGAATCTTAACTGTGAAGACACCGCTGTAGTCTTCCAGACCAAAGGACTCACTTGCGCAGGTTGTTCAGCACCATGATGTTGGCGTACATATAGAACAGGTAGTAGGTGTACGGCGGGTTCTCGTCTGCGGTCCATGACTCAGGCTTTGGACTTTGATAGGAGAACAAATGGTCACTGTGTTTGGACTCATCATCCACACTGTCAAATCCTGTCACCTGCAGAGCGAGATGAAGATCAGAGTTGAAGTGCAACATGACCAGAGAAATGAACATCACCTTGGTTTGTTTGACGCGAGTAAGGCGTTTACATATTTTAAAAAAACGTGAAGCGCCGGGTGCTTCTGCGGGTTGACCGTGGCCTCAAAGATGGGGATGAAGATGTTCTCCAGCATCTTGGCGAAGTTTGGGATCAACTTCTTTGACCTGAAAATGTCACTGTAAGACAGAGGAACGTCTTCAGATCAAACTGATGCGCATCCGGAAAGGCCCTTTTGGATCCGGATAGACCTTCTGAGAGCACTCACTAGATCCGAGGGACCTGGATCATCCATCTCAGGTTTGGCGAATGGACTCTGTGCTGAATAAACCAGGTGGCAAGGCCCACCCATTCGCTGGCGGATCGTCCGTAAATCGACAGACGAGGCTCGGCGTGTTGGTACTTGCTCTCCTCCAGCTCCTTTGCCACTTCCTGGAACGGATCGCGGGAAGTTCTCAATATACTGAAACAGCCGTTGGGTTAGCATACTTTAACGTCCTTAACTCTTATTTATGCGCGGTGTTGAATGACCTCGTCCGTATCTTTTCTTGTACAGGGGGTCCTCGGTTTATGACATTTTGGCTCAAAAGGGGTTTTAATGAAAATATCAACTGGAATTATGACTCAACAACTGTTGATGTTGGTGAGTGATTAGACCCCAGTCGGTGAAACCGGTGACTTGCGACTTGCGTATAAATACGGGGTAGGTCGCTGCCATAGACACAAA